GTAAACTTTAACACTAAGTTCTTATGAATCTTAAAATTCAATTCATATTTGTAAGACTCATCAGGATTTCTTTTATCATGGTAGGTGGGGTAATTTAAACGTTAACTCTGCTATTCTGTGATTTGAATTTCACCCCAGTAATAGTTGCATCTGTGATAACCTGCTGCTGAACTCTAGGTTGTTTCTGTCATTTCATTGACTTCAACAGCAATGTATTGCTGAGATGATATTTTCAGGGGAAGAGCAACAAGTCCTAGTACTTCTTAATCAGCAGTGTTAAATGTGACTTTTGAAGGAAAAAAGACAAAGTGAAAAACACTTATCTTTAATAAAAAACAATAGTTGGAACATATAGGCTTGTACCATGTGCAAGACCTCTTCAAATGACATCAAATGGGCTGTTGTAATGTCACCTACAACCTTTTCACCTTTCCATTAAATCTCCTGCCCCCCCTGGGGAGGCTTTCACTAGCTCCTGCTGTGAACGCTGACCATATCCTGTTACCCCCTACCCCGATTATTCAAATGTTGTCTGGAACTCTCACTGGGATTACTCACATCATTACATTTTCAACTGATTTCCTATTTCAAGATCATTCATTGAATCCATTTGTATTATTACATTGGGTTAATAATACATTGAACCACTTATGAGTATGCTGTATAATCATTTGTCATGTTGCACAGATTATTTTTATTATTAAAGATAAAAGCCCTCAACACATCGGCATCTTTTCCCGTCATGTTCATCAGAAGAAGTTATCACAGTGCAGAGCGTGGGGACACAGTCCTAACAGCTGAAGCTTGTTTTGAAAAGACTGAACACCTAGACACACTTTGACAGAGCCTCGAAATAGGAAACCAATATCCATAATTTATTAATAGCAATTCATCAATCCAAAATGATGTCCATGTACACGATGCAAATGGTGGTCTGCATCTGTCTCTGTCTTATTGATCACACACACACACACACACACACACACACACACACACACACACACACACACACACACACACACACACACACACACACACACACACACACACACACACACACACACACACACACACACACACACACACACACACACACACACACACACACACACACACACACACACACACACACACACACACACACACACACACACACACACACACACACCTTCCAGAAAAAGACATCAGTTTCAATTCCATAAACATGTTACCAGGGATACAGTGTTAATATGAAGAATATGGAGATAAATGCAAATCATATTTTTTCATCAAACTACCTCCATTTTCGTTTGCATTTCTACATCCTGTGAGCAGCACTGCTTATCTCTCATTTCACACCAGAGCTGCAATGAAGAAAATGGACACGCCCATTTTTACCGCCAACAGCAACAACAAAATATGGGAGAATGCAAGAAAAAACATGTCTACGCTTTCAGCAAGGAAACAAATTGATGTAGGAAGAGAAGGAGGGATCTGATGGAGGTGGGCAAGAGATGAGTCAAAGAGGGTTAGAAAGAGAGGGAAGCAAAAGTAAAGAAGAAGCAGAGCAGAAGCAGACAGACTGATACACCCAGAGAATCCGTAGCGGGTCAGAATGATTTAAAAATGACATAAAGAAACAGGACTAGTGATACGAAAATGGAGGGACAGGAGAGAGTGACACAAACGGCAGAGAGAAAAGGAGACATGCAGAGAGCGCGGGAGAGGGACAGACGTTCAGACAAGCGTGAAGCATCAACAATGGAGTCTAACAAAGAAAACCTCAATCACTGCCCCACTTATCCCTCCTCCCTGTGATGTTTTAGTCTTTATTGGAAGCTTTTGCCCCACACTCTGTCACCCTCTTCTACCCCTGCCACTCCCACCTCCTCCATACATACATACATCCATCTGTCCATCCATCTGTCCAACCAGCCTCCAAAACAACACCAACCCTCCAGTGTCTGCCATCTCATCCTCCACCCAAACAATCTTCTTATTTATGCACCCATTCATCGAAACACACGAATAATTGGGTTATATAATCTGTGGTGTTATCATGAACAGAAAAAATAGATGGCATGATTAAAAAAAACTGCCGACAGTTCCATTTCTGTTGAAACGATTAGGAAGAGTCTATGAGAATTGTGCCAAAAATCTGCAATACAAATCTATGCTTGTTTTTTTTTCTGCAGGACATGTATGCTGCCTTCTTTCTCCCTGCCCACAACACACACAAAGGAATCCCATTAGAGCGAGAGGAATGGATGGACAGAACAATGGCACAGCTGATTAAAGATAGAAATGCACTGATTATTCTTCTTACCTTTCTGGCTTTGCGATTCATCCATGTTTTCCTCCATTGTGGCAAGTTACAGTCCCTTTGTCTCTACTGAGTGTGATCTGTTTAAAGCCCCTTGCTAGCTCTCAGCACAGAGTGCGTGTGTGTGTGTGTGTATGTGGGAGGCTGTGTGTGTGAGTGTTTTTTTCTCTCTGTGTAGATGATGGAGGCTCAGGGAAGTCCCTGTTTCAATGCTCTGCTCTCTCTCTGGGCTTCTTCAGCATCCCATCTTGGCATCTATCTTTGGCTTCCAATGCAGATACTCCTTTAAACTATGTATGTCAAAAAATGACAACCTAAATGTTAAAGGCAAATAAATGATAATTTCAGTTAAAAGCCATTCTTATATACTTCAATACTGTGACATTAGAAATAGAATAAGAATAAAGTGTCAAATACAAAGTATGCTAATGAGCCATGAGTTAATGTCAATGTACCTTTATGCTAAGTGTATAACAACTCAAACAAGATCCAGAATAAACACACCAAGAGAACATAGAATAGGACACATTGAAAGCACCCCAGAACTCTTCTGAGAAAATATATGAGAAGACACCATCAAACATAGCAGCTCTACACACTGACATGACGAAGATCTTAAATGTCATGTACAACAAAAGGCCCATCATCATCATCATCATCATCATCATCATCATCATCATCATCATCATCATCATCATCATCATCATCATCATCATCATCATCATCATCATCATCATCATCATCATCATCATCATCATCATCATCATCATCATCATCATCATCATCATCATCATCATCATCATCATCATCATCATAAAAACACAGATACCACAAGTGTTTCTTTCTCAGAATTCACACAGCTCTACATTGTGAAAAAACTCTTATATACACTGTACTTATATAAGAGTTGTGTATTTTATCTCAAAGTTCTATAAGTGAAGAACAAGTGTCTGCCTCTACCCCAGTAAAGTAGGGGAGTGGTGCAGTAATGAGTCCTAAAACCTGGAAATTAGAAAGCATTTTATCAGTTCCGGCTTCATTGTCTCGAGGTCAATGATTTTTTTCAACAGGTTTTTGATCATATGGCGGATATAAGGTCTGGGGTTAACCAGGCTGAAGAGATTTCTGAGTTTTGTTCTTTGTTCTCGTGCGACCTTCATTTAGTTTGTTTATTGCCTAGCGTTAGCTTTGTAATTTATGACTATTGCAGTTACGCTTCAAACATCCTAAAATCTGTTAATCTGTGGAGATTATCCCGCTGAGTATCACAACAAGTGTTTGTCGCAGATCTGATTTTCTGGAATATTCCAAAATCCAGTGGAAAACGCTTTTGCTTTTAGTCGATGGACTCCTTGCGTTGCTTAACGTTGTCACCGCACTGCTCTATTCACACGTCATTATCCAGACCAATACACTGTAGCTTGTCCTAAGTGTTTTTTAGCTTTTGAGGTTGTTTGTATACAGTAGTTACATTTATATTTGGTGTAAATACTTCCCTTTAGAATCCTTTTTTTAATGCTAAATAGTTTCTTAAAAATGTGTTTACTTACTTTGCAATTTACTTTTTGAGATTGTTTATCTTCGCACCACCAGATACCAAAGCATATTCCTTGTATGTGTAAACGTACCTGGCAATAAACTGGATTCTAATTCTGATACATAGCAGTCAAGCCAACACAGTCTCACTCCCTGTTAGTCAAAGAGCGACGCTTGATCAGGGTCCTTTGGCGTGCAGTTGGGACGCGCAGAGTCTCCTTCAGCTTCATAAACGGACGCAAAGAGCTTTCAACTGATTGCAATGTATTCCCATCGGCGGCGGTATTTGACGCTCAGGTTTATTTAGGTAAATACGTCTTCATCTGATGCGGCTTTTACTGTCAAAAGGTTTTTGCGACTGGAAACACGCATTACAGACTGATAAAGGACTGCTAAGGCATGCCACATCGAAAAAACACATTTCATGTGAGAGTTTGTGGAGAGAGAGACAGATACGCGAGGAAACAAATAAGGAAATTAGTACTATGGTGCAGATCAGCTGGCACAGAACCGTTATTACGTATTAGCTTTTTTAGCTGAGGTCAGTGCTTGAATTGGGCCGGTACTCACCGCTGCGTACCGGCACTTCTGATTTTTACCCATGTGGTACCGGCACTTCTTACTGAGTACCGGCAAGGTGCCGGTACTCAGTAAAATGCCGGTACTCGCCGGCGGCACGTCATGACGGCCCGGACTGGCCATCGGGAGGACCGGGAGGTTTCCCGATGGCCTGGCCTGTTAAGTGGCCTGCTGGCTTGAGGATTTTTTTGTATACGTATGTATTGTGAACGCAACGCTGCGCAAATGTGGGTCTGACTCTGCCTCACAGAGGGTGACTGGCTGTCTACATGATGTGGCCTGCCGACATGGCCACTTTCATACAGATCATACTAATGCCCTCGATTGGTCTCTGTGTGTCATTCAAGCTCGGGAGGGTGTGTGTTCGTGTATGTGTGGCGCACCGGTTACGTGTATTGTTGTTAGCATCTGGTGCTAGCTAGCTGCGCTAACGGATATAAGGAGCTGTTTCAACAACAAGGTGGAGGAGAGTCCTCTGCTGTCAGACTGAGAGACTGATAACCTTAGCTCAGGTGAGGTAAATTACTCTCTGAGTGTTTAGATAGTTAACTTTGTCTAAGTTATCTCAGTGGGTCTCAAACGGTTCGGTCACCATTTATGTAAACACATATTTCCATTTGAGGGGGTAATGAGTAGTAAAATATGCATGAATAATAAAAATAAAATGTTAACTAGGTGAAAAAAGGTAAGATAAGATAAGAGCTAAAACTAGTCTTTGCTTCTGCCTCAAAGAGGAGCAGGGACGAGAGGAGGGACCCGGGGGAGGCTGATTCAGGAGCACAGACACACTCACAACTATAAATGAACCAAACACAAATAAATAAACAAGTTTCAATGTTTTTTCATATTGGATATGGTATGTTATGGCCATGATTTTATGATTTTATGATTATTTAAATGTATACAGTTCTGTTTCATATGGGTGTAGTCTCTTTATTTCCCCCTCAAAATGCACCAGATTGATGCATTTAAGTCCAACATTTTAAAACAAATCTTACCGGGGAGCATGCCCCCGGACCCCCCTATAGGATTTCAGGTCCACCCCCACTTAAAATATGTTCACATTCATAGATTCCTAAATAGATTTGCACATTTTTTAAAATAGTAACCCATCTCCATATGTTTATTTTTGGGTAGTAGATTTAAACTAGAGGGCTATCACTATGGGCAGCAACGCTGTAAAAATTGACAAATAAATCCATCAAAATGGCACAAAAAACTGGTAGTGGCCTGGCTGGGTGTATAATTCCCGGCCTGACTTATTGTCCCAGTCCGGCCCTGATTGACGCATGACAACAAATATGCCCAGCGTACCTATGACACGCCACAGCGATAGACTAGAGCAGAAAAGACATCACATAACGTTAGCATTTCGAAAATGTTAGCGTGGCTTAATAATAGTGTGAAAAGACAGCGGTTGTCGCCGGACAAGGATTCCCTCTCTCCTTTCCTGCTGAAAGATGGTGAGTGTACTCAGGGACGAGGAGTCATTTAACCAGCCGCCAGTAGGAGTCAGGCTTTACTTTCTTTTATATCCATAAAGAAAAAGTAAATCTGTTTACAGTTGTTTCATATGGATGTTGAGAGGTATCCATATATCTCTTTATGTTGCTCTCAAAGTGCACCAGATTGATGCATCTAACTTAAATATTTAAAAAAAAATCTTCCCGTGGGAACATGCCCCCGGACCCCCCTAGAGTGTCAGGTCCACTCCCCACTTATAAAAATAGCACTTTACCACTGCACCTCATTTAGTTTAAGTACAGTGAGCCTTTCTAAAATATACAGTAAAGAGACAAACCCACCAGCATTATAGGATATACTATATAATATGACTTTGAGCCAAATACTTGTTTTTGGGCTGTATAAATAAATTGACTTAAAACAGTTGCTGATTTAGAGTACTCGCACCTTTTTTATTCCAATTCAAGCACTGGCTGAGGTGACCACGATTCACTCCACAGCATGTCCGAGTCAGGCAGTGGCACTCTTCCTATCGCTGTTTGAGTATACGCTGCACAAAGATGCAGAGTTGGCCAAAATATTGTTCTAAGTTAGCTCGGCTGAGAAAGGATGCACCAGCAGTGCATAGGAAAATAAACCATGCCCAAGGGGCTAAACAGTTCATCGTCTCCATCTCTACTATTTATCTCCGAGTGCAACGATGAGGAACTTAACAGCTTAACCAGTGTGCCTTGCTCGTGATTTACCAGTGTCTGTGCTGCCACGCACACAATGTTTAAAAAGTGGTTTCTATGTTGCCCTTTATTTGTGTATGTATTTGCGATAAGTGTGCGTCTTTACGCAATGCTGTTGACCTCGCTGTTTGATATATATTGTGCCGCAGGCCCGCAGCACATGACGGTTTTGTGTGCCCTCCCATGAAAATCATATGCCCTCCCTTTAGATTTGTTCTGGCGCCGGGTCTGTGTGAGTTGGATGTAGAAAACTCAGAATCAATATTGATGTTTTTTATTTTAAAGAAAATTCAGATTGAACATAGTAAAAAACTGTAAATTATAGTGTCCGTCCAAAAATATTTTTGTACTTATAGTGAAAACTACCCTTGGATGATGGTAAGGTAGACTAAACGCTTTAGGAATCCAAAGTACAATATATAATAAGTACCCTGTATCAAGATTGATGCAAAACAATCGACATTTGACCTTTTTAGAGAGGTTTAGCAAAACAAACTCCACCTCTGAGGTGATTTGGGTGGAAATGGCCGTTTTTACCATTTCTCTGGAACCCATTGGTCGATTTTGGTAATTGACATCTCTTTTTGACCATTTGAGCCAATAGAATCGAAGGGGAATTTCCACATACACCTTACCATTGAGAAATGAGAGCTATGCGCACCCAGTTTTGCATGAGAGCGAACCTATTTCTCGCTCTGACATCTGGAAACGGAAAAGCAGGTTTATTGCTTATGGATTATCAGAAATCATTTCAAAGGGACACAGACACATTGGATTAACCTATGGATTAACCTTCAGCAGCGTTTTTTATCGTTTTAATGCCATTGAAGACCACTTTTGACCAGACAACAACAAAGGTAAGCCATTTTGCCGTTTTTAGCTCCCTAGCGCCACATGTTTTGATGTCTGTTTTTGTTATTATCTCCGCGAGTTCTTATC